TAAGCTAAACACTGAACCCCGAGCCCACCAGCTGACCGCCTTATATAGCAACTCCCCCACCGAGGGGTGGGGCCGTGGGGGATCACAGCGCCGTTTTAGCCCCCCAGGCTAAACGGTGCGGACGTGGATGTAAGCATCCTTCCGCGTGCGGGCATAACCACCCCTGGTGTGTTTTTCGCCCTCCCGTAACACCTCTACACCTGTAGTAAGGAGAGTTGATGGCTTGAGTGGAAGGTCGTGAGGAGGAAGAGGAGGTGGTGATGTTATTGTTTTGAAGGGGAGTCCCCTTTGTGTGGGCAAGCGTCATGCACGCTGGCCATATGTGTCTCAGCCGTACAGGTTCTTTCAAGTCGCGATTGCCCATTCGACCTCCGAATTTCGTTCGGTTTCCGGGGCAAAAAATGTTCGGAAATATCGTTCGAACACCGATTTGTTCGGGTTCTGGTGTGTTCGGTCTCCGAGGTTTGACTGTAAGATTGGAGAGCTGATATATCAATATAGTAAAAGAATAGTCTTGCAGGACTTCCAACCAACATGAAAGCTGACCAGACGGCTGTTCAATGCGCAGCGCGTACTGTAGTGCTGCATGGTCAGAGCGCACCTCAAAGTGCCTGCCATAAAGGTAGGGGCAATACTGCTGCACAAAAAAAACTATAGCCAAAAGTTTCGGCGTTTCACATAGTATCGCTGCTCGGCCAGAGACAGTACTCTGCTGCATTATGCCACAATGCTCTCCACGCCATCCACGACTTCAGACAGAACGGCGCCAATTCCGGTTTTACTAGCGTCCGTATCAAGGACGAACGGGAAGGATAAATCGGGGTATCTGAGGGGAGGGGCGTTCACCAGGCCATCCCGGAGCGCAACAAATGCGGCCTCCTCTTCCCCCCAATGAAATTTCTGACCCTTTGCCGTCAGGCCGTGGAGAGGCTTGGCGATAGTGGCGAACCCGGCGACAAAACGGCAGTAGTAGGACACAAATCCTATAAAACTCCGCACCTCACCCATGGACTTGGGGGTCGGTCAAGAACGCACGCACGCAGTTTTGTCCAGGTCCGTCGCTATCCTTGACTTACTTTGTGGCCAAGGTACCGAACTGATGTTTGAAATGGATGACACTTCTGTGGTTTAAATTTGAGGTTCGCCGCACACATTTTAAGAAAGACAGCGTGTAATCGTTCCAGATGTTCCTTAAACGTGCGGCTAAAAACAATAAGATCATCAATATATATTAGACACGAATCCAACTGGATGCCAGCTAGAACCAGTTCCATTAGCCACTGGAACGAAGCTGGAGCGGAGTGAAGACCCATCGGAAGTCGATTCAATTCAAATAAGCCTTGTGGTGTGCGAAATGCGGTCTTCGGCTTGGAAGACTCATCCAGAGGGAATTTCCAAAATCCCGATAGGAGGTCAAGCATTGAAAAATAATGTGCCCCTGCCAGAGCATCCAGGGAATCATCCATTTGTGGGAGGGGTATGCATCAGCCACATACATTTGAGTAAGTTTGCGGAAGTCGACGCAGAAGCGCAAACTACCGTCCTGCTTCTTAACAAGAACGATCGGGGCCTCCCATGGACTAATGGATGGCGAGATAATATCAGCGGCCAACATCTTATCAACCGCCAGCCTTACGTAGTCCTTCTCTTTGGGGCTCAGCCGGTAGGGATTCTGCCGGATGGGGCGGCATTGCCCGTATCGATGTGGTGACTCAAAAGGGTATTGCTAATCACATCGGAGAATTCCTGCAAAGGCGCCCGCAACTCCTTCCTTTGAGTCTCGGACAATTCTGGGTTTGCGGAGCAGAGTGCATCCATCCACTTCTCATAGGAGTGCTGCTGCGGCTCCGTAACCAAAGCGGGCGACGCGTGGGCTAGCACGGTACCCTGCTGTATAACTGACGTGTCCAACCCCGCATTGAGGACCAGAATGAATGGTTCCTGGTCATTGAACACCAGAGTCTGGGCCCCAACCAACATCAACCCACGAACGGCTTTGTTTGAGGGCCCTAGAAGGATTCATCCCGCAGTTGCCTCCTGGTCAAGTGGCTTCCGAAACCGCAAGGGCACTAGCATTTGCGCCCCGAGAGGAATTGTTACGGTTTTGCTCGCAAGCACTTGTACCGTAGCGTAGGCCGTATGCAATCCAGTGGGCGAAGGTAAAAAGGCCAACCTGCGGCCCAATGGCAACTCGACACATCCCTGATCTATTACAATTTTCAGGGGCATCTTCCCCAGGAAATCCCAAGCAAGCAGGGAATGGCAAGGGACGTCGAAACAAGAACTGGTCCCGTCAATTTGATCTCTCCAATGCACACTTCTGCCGTTATTTGTCCAATAATGCCCAATGAGCCGCCATTTGCGGCAAAGCACGGAACCCCGACGGGACACAGGATACGACACTTTCGGGGCAAGATGTTATAAATAAATTCAGAAATGATGGTCGCAGACGCACTGGTATCGACGAGCATCCTAATTTTTATATTTCCTGTATCATACCAATAACAGCGGACGAACCCGCAGCCGCGGCAACTACCCTATGAGCCAACTGACTACTGACCCAGTCGGAGTGGCCAGCCGACCCTGGGACGGACAACCAAGATTCCTCTCCGGCGTGGCTGGCTCCGCCCTTGGCCACGCCCCCCTTCCAGAACCGTTAGGAAGAACCTGGGTTTGAATCACGTGACCCTCCTAGCCCCCTCTTGGGGGCCCCCCTGCCATTCAAACCGGTTACGTGTCCTCCCAGGTCAACCAAAGTGTCATGGCCTTACCCGACCTTCCCCTTAGGTCGGTACACACACCGTGCTCTCTAGGGCCGGCACTGCACTTACAGCATGGTGCCATCCAGCAATGTCACTAAAAATATATAAACGTGTCGTTAAAACCCACCACCACCCGACACAGCCAACTAGTAAGGGTTCAATCTTGATTTGAAGCTTCCGTGACTGCAGGAATCCATACTCTTTGGTTCTTTCGGTAAAGTCACGTAGATAGAAAATTAATAGATCATGATGTTTCGATCGCAACACAAGCGACCGTCTTCAGGTGAGAGAGAGAAAGCTACTGAAACAAGGTCTTATGTAGGCCTGAGTAGCTTTCTCTCTCACCTGAAGACGGTCACTTGTGTTGCGATCGAAACATCGTGATTTATTAGTTTTCTAGTAAGAGTTGTCATGTTAACAGAAAATGCCAATTCGTCACGAGTACAGCACACTGGTGTGTTGGAGAGCCAAGCCACACTATTTACAATCTGAGTACGACGTTTCGCCAGTAATTATAACTAGCTTCATCAGGCGACAGCTAGATTTGTGGAGGTGTCTGTTTCATTCCTTATATAGAGGCGTAGATGTGGTATATCACGCTTCTGCGCTCTTGTGCCACGTGAGGGGGGGGATTATTGAGTTATCGTACATTATGCATATACATTATGCGATCTTGTCCTTCCTGTCTATTGTGTGTATTAAAATATCCATACCAACGGTAATCCCTATTGACGTAAGCATGCATTTAAATTATGTATCGCTTCCACGCAGCACAAAGGCGGTAGCTATCCGAACGGATTTATTTTTATTTTATTATTTCAATTTCGGTAGATTCTCTCATTAGTCTTGGCCAGTAGTAGCTAGTTTTGCACAGAACTTCAATATTATCAAAATCAATTGAGTTTCCTTGTTGGCACGCGTGTTCTGACAGTAGCAGAACAGAGTTAGACTTCACAAATCTGGCTGTCGTTGATGAAGCTAGTTTTAATTACTGGCGAAACGTCGTACTCAGATTGTAAATAGTGTGGCTTGACTCTCCAACACACCGGTGTGCTGTACTAGTGACGAATTGGCATGTTCTGTTTACGTGACAACCCTTACTAGTTGGCTGTGTCGTGTGGTGGCAGGTTTTAATAACACATGTATATATTTACGCAATCTAACCCAAAAAACCTCTTATGGATGATATTGGTCGCGAAAGCCGACGTGTTAAACTGAGATTTCAATTAATCGTCGCATTCTAGAATTCATCGTTACAAATACATGCACACACAACTTCCGAGCGTGACATTATTTTGAATCGTTTGCACTTTTAATGTAGAATTGTTTTCCTTTCTCGACCTTTGCCTGCGCACGGATTTATTCTAATGGGGACGCTCAGCAGGGCCGTGCCGAGCCGACATTTGGCAGCAGGTAAGCCCCTCCGTGCTGCGGTGCCGGCCGAGCTGCACGCCGCCACCTCCCCCGCTCCGTTCCCTGGACCCCCCCCTCCAAGCCCAATCTGGCTCTGGGGGCAGAGCGGCGCTGGGGGTGGCTGCCCTAATGCGTTTTTCCACTGGAGGTATCGGCTCTCTGCGCGTCGGCACTTCCCATATAAAGCAGTGGCGGTGGTGGCAGCTTGTGTTGAGTGCCCGCACTGCTGGTATGCATGCCTCTAATTAGCCGCCTGTGAGTGTCATGTGGCGAGCTTCCCCCTGGATCCGCATTGAGGGCGGCCGCTCGTAAAGGGACCCACGCGGGCTTCCTGTTGTCGGGGCCGTGGCTTGTCGTGGCGCGATCGACCCACATGGTATAATGTAATTACGGCGTTAAATGGTCCAATTTGTTAACGTCGCCCCGAACAACTTAAACTTAAATCAACAGAGGTGTCCACTGTCAGGAAGCGGGACGCGCCGTCGCTGCGGCAGACGCGCCGGTGCGAAGCGAGGTTTCGCTGCTGCTGCTGCCCGCCCCGTGCTTCTCGCGGTTTTGCTGCTGAGCCCTCCGCTGCATCCTCAAGTCGCACCCCTGAATTCGGTTCCTAATAAAAAGCTCCCAGCAAGTGGAGTAAAACGTCAGATACTGCGCCAAATATTACACGCGGTTCAACCCGTAAGTGCACCGGAGAGAAATTAAGCCACCGCGTGTAGCATTCTTAGAATGGACCGGAATGGGCAAACTGATCGTACCCGCGTCGAATCGCGTTCCGTGAGTTTACGTTCGATGCTGTGTGATTTGGCTGCTGCGGCGGCGGCGCAGGCTTCGAAGGAAGGGATTGTGACGTGAACGTGGACGACTGCCCGGGCAACCGCTGCGACAACGGGGCCACGTGCGTGGACGGGGTCAACACATACAACTGCCAGTGCTCCCCGCAGTGGACCGGTAAGCGGCGGGCACCCGTCTGGGTGCGCGAGTTTCACCTCGCCTCCAGGGCTGGGTGGAGGCGTCGCGGGCAAGGTTTATTCTGGACTGTCTCTCGGCCGTTTTGTGTGGAGGAATTGGGATCTGTCGAGCATCGATGTATATCCAACGTTCTCCCAGCGATTTGCATGTTATTGACTACTTAGCTTCAACTAAGCACATGTCCTCACTCTCATCTGTCCCCTCCAAAAACAAAAAACAAAAAATTCACACCTTGCAAAAATTTCAACAACATTGCTTCAACACAAACAAATTCTAGACCGGTTTTGAGCTAGGCTGTTTAAACCAATGCTGATGGTAGAGTCAGATGTTAATAAGCAGCCAGGTCGATGAACTTCTAGACATTTATAGGCTAAGGGCCCTCTCTCTCTTAGACGTGGGCCCTAGCTCGACGCAAAACTCTGTAATACACAATAACATAAACAATAATAGGAAGAGTCTGTAATGAGACAATCACCGGGGCTCGGTGCCAAGATTCCACTTGGCACGTAGAGCGGGTGGCAGTGCGGGCACAGGGACCCGGAGCCTCCTGCCGTAGAGCCAGTTCTCTGTGTGGTCATGCAGGCGCGGGCAGGGGACGGGGTAGGGAGGAACCCGCGGGGGAGGGGGTGAGATCCATGGGAAGGATCCCGTGGGAGGGGGAGGGACCGGTCAGGCAGTGGGGAGCAGGGAGGGGGCACTGTGTGTGTTTGTGTGTATTCGTGTGTATATGAGTGCGTCTGTCGTTTGAGAGCGGAAGAGTAGTGGTTGGCGTGCTGTGCTATGAACCCAGCGACCCGAATTCGATTCCCACTCGTGGCCATCCACACCAGTAAGGCTTATCTGAACTGTTCCTGGACCTCCCCTAGGTTGACTCAGCTTTAAACGAGTACCTGGTATGGCGGCCAGGGGTGGTACTGGCCACCCACCCCCTCGCTAACAGCACTTGCCCCAAAGCCTGTGAAGGCTATACAGGAGGGGGGGGGGGGGGGTGGAAGCTTTGTGTCCGTAATTGAGTGTGTGTGCTTGTGTGTGTGTGTGAATGAGAGTCTGCACTCTGTTGCGGTTCCCTGCCGGCCCACCGGTAGTTTCTATTTGACTGTAGAATGATTCCTGTCACTGTGCAACATCAAATGGTAAAAACGTGTCCATTGGTGAATTATAAGAATAGGTTTTACCCCTTCTGGCAATAAAACAGGAGGTGTTAAGATGTTCAGACACCAAATAGATACCTATTCGGTGTTTGAATATCTTAACATCTGAACATCTCCTGTTTTTTTGCCAGAAAGGGTAAAACCTATTCTTATTTTTTTAATTTTGGATACTGGCAAAAATGTGCTGTAGTGTCCATTGGTGTTATCAGGTTGGAGGCTTTAGAGTGTGACAAACGTAAGCAACAATATACGTGCAAAAGTGTGTGGACAACCTACTTGCTGCTCTGCCAAGTAGCACTGCATATTTGGGAAGTGTCTCGCACGCACGAACACGCACGCGATGATCTCCGTGTGCTCCGGCAACACCGCCCTGCGAAGCCACGCTTGTCACGCTGCGCTCTCACACCCAGTAGTAACCAGCCAAGATAATTTTGCCCGAAGATCATTCCGCCGCTGCCCATTGTTGCAACGGTGAAATGGTTTGTTTAGTTTTTCACACGAGAGTTGCCTGCCGCCTCGTAGAAAGGTGCCGGCGGCCAGACGGGCACGAGCAGAATGTTCGTTATGAGCAGGCGCGACGTTTAGCAAACGAGGCCTTGCGTCAGCGTTGCCACTCGGCAGCGCAAGCCGCCCCTCGCCCCTGGCTCTGCTGCTGGGCGTTTCTGTCCCAGAAGCCAAGGATGTTCGCTGAGATGCTCTGGGAAACTGTCAAAGCAAAATTGTTTATGATTATGACATGTTTGTACAATATTAATATAACATGAATACGACCTGAAAAATTACTCCCATTTAACTTGGTGTGCCATAAAAAGCTGACGAGTAACTTAAGTCATCGTGCACCCATTATTTTATGATTATTTATTATTCTTGTTTACCGAGGAAAGCCTCACTGAGGCTCAAGACTGTCATGAAGGAGAGTCCTGCCTCTCAGGTGTACAGACGATTGGCCCAATGTGAGAGATAGCCGTCAGGCCTTCGTGTCTTCAGGCTTTTCATCTCTCGTGTGCCGTCTCTCTTGCTGGCGAGGTTTCATGAAGTTAAGTCTACTTTGTGCTCCTGTGCTGAGTTGCCCTGCCGATTCCGAGGTCCACCCATTGGCTGGTTCAGCCTGTTACCCCGTGACCCTGTGACCCAGGAAACGAGTTTTATAACGAGGTGCATCGCTCTCGCAAGTGAGACTGCCGGTCTCTCTTCAATTCTCACCAAGTTCAACAAATTAACTTGGTCGCTGTGTCTCAGAATGCTAGAGAGCTCAGACTTACCTTCCAAATAATCTTGGCGAGGTCAACAGGAAAGGGTGCCGCGGTGGGCGAGATGTTAACTACCTTGCCTGGTATACAGGAGGTCGTGAGTTCGATCCCGACCATGATGCCTGGTGTATATTTGGAGTTTGCATGTTTCTCTCCCCGTGATCACGTGGATTTTTCTCTGGTTTTCTCCTCCACGTTTAGAATGTATATGCGTTTAAAGTATTTGGCTGCTATAAATGTCCACATAAGCCACTTTTTGAGCTATAATTTGTGGCCAGGTCACTTCTGAAAAAGAGTTAAAGCTCAGTGGGGCCTTCCCTGTTAAAATAAAAATAGTTGAGTTTGGAAAGACACACAAGGGAACGTATCGGTTACCTGTGATGTGCACGCACGCCACCTCTCACGTGGTCCAGATGGGAGCTTGCGAGCTGCTGGGACCTGGAGCCCTCCCTTGCCACCTATGCGGCTGCAGCTCTTTACCGACCCGGTTCGCGTACGATCCGTAAACCACAGATGTGACGACGCCCATCGGAATTATCTCGCACACCTACATTTGACAGGGCCTCTGCACGAGAGCATCGCCGCATGCCTCGGCCTCCTGACATTGTCTCAAAAATAAAACGCTGGACAAATAAATGCGCTTATTATTGTGAACGTTTTATTTCCACGAGACACGCGTTTTCCCGCACCTTTGCGTGCCCACACGATGCCAGTTGTAACCACGTGAGTTGGAGCGCCGAGCAACGTGGGTGGCCATTCTCTGCTTCCATCCGTTATCTGGCCCAGTTCACCCACTGATGAACAAGGCGAGGACTCATTGCTACCCACGTGAGAGGCAAAATCATGTAGTTAGTTTGCATGTGCGGTGACTGTACATTTCCTCTAAGTGGACAAACTGGTTTCATATTTGTGCCCACTGCTACTCGGGTTACCATTTAAAATGTATTTCATTATGTCGTGTGACCACTTTATAAGTCGAGCCGTGTTCCCATGCTCTCTCTCCTTCCCATGGGTTAAGCCCTGAAGACACAAGACTATAAACCACTCTTCAAGAGCCAAAGCCACGCATTACGTCTTTATCAATTTATTTTACACGGGGAGGGGGGACGAGTGCTGTGTTTTTTTGCCATGAGCTGTGTAGGTGTTTAGCCCGGGCAGCTTTACAAGTGGCGTCATTTTTCTCAGCCCATTGTCGCCACTTTTTCACGAGAGTCTCGCCAGCTCGTTGACACACCCCCCGCGATTATTTTGTGAGCCAGTTCTATCCATGACTCGTGATAGTTATTAATAACGCTCCGGGTTTGGGGCAGCGCTGAAACCTCCCACGTGCCCCTGGCTCTGTGCCCACCCCCACCGTTCAACTCTCTCCCCTCTTCCCGTGCGAAACTCTTGGTTCTCATTGCGCAAGACCTTTGCGTGCTCCCTCGGCATGTGACGGTTCGGTGAAACTGCGACGGTGATGGATCTGTGCCCAGGCCGGGACCGGCGTGTTTTCCCGTCGCGTCCTATTTGTCAAGGAGGTTTTTGATTATTTCCATCCTCGGTGATCTGTCAGTCTTTCCGGCCGTAGCCAATCCCGTGCAGGGGCATTCTGTCAGTGAATCGGGGGGGGGGGGGGGGAGGCGTCCCATCCGTGCTTCAGAGTTAGCTTGTGTTGAACCAATGCTGCTGAATATTATGCACTTCCCAGAAGGCCGTGTGAATGATGGGATGTGCAAAACTACTTTCTTTGCTTATGTGCAGGGTCATATCTGTTGAGAAGGCATCTTGCCTGCTTGTTTATGTTGTTCCATGGTTAATGTGTTCTTCTCTCCCCTGCAACGGTGGGGGAGGGTGAGGAGGGGTTAGGGGGTTTGTATGTTCATAGGATCACCACTTATGCTGATTCCCCACATTTTTTTTATTCAGTCAACCCCAATGGGTTGATTGGCTGTGAGTCGAATCCTGTTTGGTGTTTAAACTCACAACCAAACCTTCTGGGAAGCCGTGTGCATGAGGTCATGTCCCTCAAAAGGTTTTGCTCAGTATTTTGCACGTTTTACTCATTCAATATTCTTCAGGAAGTTGAGGAGTGTTACTCCAAATACAATTTAATAACGAGATAATCATAGACCTCCGACACGTCGTTTCTTTTCGGGTTCGAGTTCAGTTTTGCAAAAGTACTGCTGCCAGCTCCTCCGTCACGTCTTCAACTTCATCAATTCCATCTCGATGTGATCCCAGGCTGCCTGCGATCTCGTCACCTCGCTTCTGCACGTGTCCTGTTTTCTCATGTATCTTCAGTCCGTTTGGCAGCCTACATTGTTAAGTTCTTATCACATTTAGCCAGGTTGTGTAGGGTTGGGTCTGCGCACATTGAAGAAATCGCAGCGCCAGTAGAGAACCCCTTAGTTTCGCAGGGGAGACGCTCGGCAATCCACTTGCTGTACTGCAGGGCTGGGAGTTGCACAGAGCACTCAGTCGTTCACTCGAGTCACTCGAGTCACTCGCACGCAGGTGGTCAGTCGTCTCCTTTTTCAGTCTTATATAGCTACTTCCACGGTTACTATTTCTGTAAATCATTTCCTTGATTGCTCCA